GCTTGGCACTGCTGGGGGTGGGGAGGAGTAGGGGTATTGTAGGCAATGCAAGATTGTTTTTTCTTCCCTCTTCTGTGCCTTGTTCCTTGATATAATGTTAAAACTAGGTAGTGTGATCACTCACCTGATTTTTGGTTCTTCTGAAGGAGCTTGCTTGTGTGGATAGTTGTTGAGTTTGGTATTCGTGTGGAGGGAAGATTGCTGAAGGTTTCTGTTCAGCCATCTATTTCTACCCCCTTGCCTAGCAAACATTTTATAGAAATTGAAAACTGATTTCAAAATTTGTATGAAAAGGCAAATGACTTATAATAGCCAAAACAGTTTGAAAAGGAAGAATAAAGTTGGAGTATGCACGTTAACTATTAATAGAATTAATATAAAGTGGTGGTAATGAAATTGATGTAGTTTGGGCATAAGGACAAATGGATAAGTGAAATGGAATAGAAAGTCCAGAAATAGCCCACAAAGGTGCCAAAGCAATTCAAGTGGTGCTGGCAAAAAGCCTTGACCTCTACCTTATATCACACACAAAAATTAATTTGAGATATGTCATAGTCCTAAATGTGAAAAGTAAAATTTCTGGAGGGAAATAGATGAGAATAGTGTTGCAATATGGGGTAGATAAAATTTCAAGCAAGACAAAGAAAAACAATAACTAAAAGAGAAAAATTGATAAACTAGACTTCATCTAAATTTAAAATTTTTGCCCATCAAAAGGCACCATTAAGAAAATGAATTTTCAAGCAACTTACTGGGAGAAATTATTTATAAGACAAGGACTTACTGTATTTTTAGAATAATAAAGACTTATTCAATGGTAGAAAGATAAAAACCTCATTAAAATAATGGACTTGAACCAATGATTAATAAAAGAAGATATATAAATGGACAGTAAGCATATTGTTAGACATTTTGGTGGCCTTTTTACAAAGTTAAATATATACCCATCCAATGATCCAGCAAACCCATTTCTAGGTGCTTATTTATCTAAGAGAAGTGAATACAATATAGCTAATAAAAGAAAAAAACTTGAGAAAGGTTTGTTCATAGAAGCTTTATTCATAATGGCTTAAAAGTAAAAACAAGCCAAATTTTCATCAACAGGAGAATAACAAATAAAGGGTTTATTAATATAATGAGATATTAAAATAAAAACAATATATGATATGCAACATTATAGATGAGTTTCACAATTATGCTAAGCATAAATAACAGAGTACATATTATGTGATTCTATTTATAAGAGATTTTAGAATAGGCAGGACTAATCTGTTTAAAGAAATCAGAAAAGTAGTTGTATATGATGTAAATGATGGACTTGGAAGGACCTTTAGGAACCCACTCAGATTCAGATATTCCGTATCTTGATAGGGATGTGAGTTACAGGGATATAGTATGCATTTGTTAAAACTCACTTCTATATGCTTACAATTTGTGCTACTCACTGTATATAAATTTTACATTAAAAATACTAAGCAAATATGGAACCTTAGTAAAAGAGATTTGCTTTCCACAGTGATATATGTTAGTACTCCTGAAACTAGTTTCTATGCATTCTAGGCTTGAGCAAATAAGTGTATTGCAGATGAGGGAGCCAGGTTTCTCACTTTTTGATAGAGCAATTTCAAATATGTTGACTTGGCATTGGAGGTGTTGATATAAAATTATAAAATTTTTTATATACACACTAAAAATAGAGGTAGATAGAAATGTTTTTGTTGTGTGGTATTTGTTCTAGCTCTGTTCACTGAGAGGGCTTATAAACAATGATGTAAGTAGCAATGAACACATTTAATGCCCAGATTTTGATTTCTAAATACCACAGTCCACTAAAATGAAACAATTGTCATTGGAGAAAAAGCTGATTCCAAGGCTAGTGCAGAGAAAATTTTTTTGTGCTGGAAAGTAAGAAAGTACTCAAAGAGTTCTGAGTTACAAGGGTAAACAGGGGCCATTGTGAAGGGGCTGGGGGTCTTACTGCCAAATTTGGGACACTTAAACATCAAAATAAATAATGATAAGAATGGCTTAAAATCCATAGGCTAAAATAAAAATACATAACACTATAGTGATATGAATGAAAAAGGGAGAAGAGAAAACTATTCCTTGGAGTAGAATGCTGACTGATAAGTGCACAGGAATGATGGAGTCAGAAAATCATCAATAGCTCTTTATATGTAAGATTTTTTGTTTATTACATTGGAGAAAATTAGAAGATAACATCTTAATGATCAAAATTCATATCACTGATATTACAGTACATCAACATCTTATGCCTCAAGTTATCGTGCTCTCGGAAGCATCACTTCTGTGGCATTTATGCCAAAAAATACATAAGCTCATCATGGGGAAATATCGGATAAACTGAGAGAGAGTCTACAAAAATAAAAATGGCCTATAGTCTTGAAAAATGTTAAGGTCAAAGAAAATAAAGAATGGTTGAAAATCTGTTCCAGATTAAGGGAGAAACTAAATGCAATGCGTGATCCAGGATTGGATCCTAGAATTGGAAGGAAATTGGCTATAAAGGACATTATTAAGAAAGTGATAAAATTTGAATACAGACTGTTTATGATGGTATTGTATTGATAAATTTTTTTAATCATGGTAATTGTATTGTGTTTATGAAAAAGAATTTTCTTGCTTTTAGAAAAATTCATGGAAATATTTACAAGGAAAGGTGTACAATGTCTCCAACTTATTCTCAATGATTGAGAAAAAGTATGCATAAATATGTGAATAGAGAGAGAATGATAAAGCACATGGAACAAAATGTAAATAAATGTTAAGTCCAGGTAAACGATAACAATACTCATTCTTGGAAAAGTTTAAAATTATATAAAAATTTAAAATTGCCCTCAAACTCATTGACTTGTTTAAAAAAATTAATGGGTGTTTTAAATAATCATCTCATGCATGATGTAATACAAATTACCTGGGTAAAAGAGTGCTGTGTGTATAATAGATGTTTAATTTAAGGAATGATAACTTGAAGTGAGTGGGTTCAGTTCTGATACAATGTTAAGAATAGGTTTACTTCATGGTCATTTCGCTAAAAAGAAAAAAAAAAAGAATAGGCGGTCATAAATTCCTCTAGTAGGTTTGCTCATCATTCCCTCCCCCTCAATTCAACAAAGGTTTATTATGCATGGGACTTGAGATCTGAGTTTCTTTCCCTCAAGACGTATGATAGTAGGCAAGTTGCACAAACTCTTTTCTCTTTTGACTGAATGAAATGATTTCTTCTAGTCTTGTCTATTAAATCTTTTTAGGATTTTTATAAATATTATCAACTTTTGGTTATTAGATGCCTGAATTATCTGAATACTATATTGCCCTCAATAAGTCATGTTTTTAGATTCTCACCAAATAGATAAAGTGGGAGAGGAGAGCCTATTTTAATTCAGCTCACTTTCTTATTTACCTTTACATATTTCCTTGGGTTTCTTAGATCAACCTGAAACCTAATCTGTAAACCTTTTAAATCCAAACATTTAGTTACTTTCTCTAAGAATTAACCATCAATAATAAAGCAATAATATTTTAAACAGTTAACATCAGGATGGGATTTGTGGTCTTCTAAAAGGTAGTATTGCATCTTAACACCATTTAGAAAAAAGGATAAGAAATGCTGTACTGTGTAACTTGAGTTTTTTGATTTCTATTTTTGAAGTGTTATAAGTACCAGAACATCTCATGTACCCAAATAGGGCAATGTATATTCCAAAGCTAAATATACATTTTTTAAACATTATCTTCCATTTTTGTTTGTTCTTACCCCTGTTCTCTTCTTGTTTCATTGAGAATTCACATTAAATTGAACTTCTAAAAGATATAAATAATTCTTTAAACCAGTTTAATCTCGAGAAATAATGTTGTGATAAGCTAATGTAGATATGATAGCAAAATTGAGTAATCCTTTTAAAATAGATTAAATTTTTGTATTTAGTATTTTTACTGCCCAGTAATTTTCTTAGATTGACCATCTCTTCTATTTTTTCTTGTTTCTGTTTATAAATTATAGCTATTATGAATAATCATTTTCTAGGATCTATACAAAATTTTTTTGGTTTGTATAATACAGTCTTTATGATACAGTCTTCTTTGGCTTTATGCGCTAATTCTCTAATATTTTAAAATAACTTAATTTCTATTTCTCAGCAATCAAGAAAGTACTTTTAATGCTGTGTTTGTCACTGGGAAAACTAGTTTTAATTTATATTGACCTTTTTCTCCTTTGAGCATTTAGCGTGCATTCAATAAAATGTTGATGACTGCTCTTTAGAAGACAGCTGTATGAAATAAAGTATTATAAATATTCAGCTTTCCTTTCTAAGCATTGTCACCAACAGCTGGGCATCCAGTTTAGCAGAACAGATTTTGCACAGAGAGAGCCTGGCATGTTCCTGAATCAGTTTAGTGAAGGAAACAAAAAATAGTTTCTTATGGATTGGGGACTTATAAAGACATAGAGCATCTGTTCCTCTGTTAAGTCATAGTCTGGTTGCACTGAATCATGTTTAAAGCTAGAATAATGTGCAAAACTTTTTTCACCTTGCTCATACCTTTAACACCTAGTGCATTATATCTGCAAATAATATACTTTCAACATCTCCGTTGAAGGTAGGTAAATTATTTTGCTCTTAAGTATGATTTTTATTAGTGGTATTTTAAAGCAGACAGATATACTAATTTTTGAGTAAGACTTTATGACTTTAATGTTTAAATTGTGTGGTAGTCATTGTATATAAAACTACATATATAAAAAGTGATCCCTTTAAATATTTATTAATAATTATTATCCTATTTTGAAATATGCTATTAAAAACAAACCATCCTCATAAATAATTGCTATCTTCATATGGTATTCTGCTTTAATAAATAATATAAAATTAGTTGGCAAAAATAACTTAGAACCTTTGTTTTTATATCTTGTCCTTTAGTATTTGGGTACTTAAAGCATGCCAAATCTAAGATTTCTTCAAATGTTTTGTTTACAGGGCTAAAAGATCACTGAAATTGGATGGTCTGGTAGAAGAAAATGTAAGTATTTGCTTAAGAGTTTGTGATTGCATGATATGATTGTGTTTTTAATTTTTAACTACTGATTTTCCTTGCTAAATATAAAAATTATCAAAACACAATGTGATATGATTGATACACCATTTTCTGTATACAAAATATTTTTTGTATATCTAATATGTGGAAGTTTCTGGTCAGTTTGAGGTGCTCATTTAAGAAACAAATTATTTAAAAACCTTTAAGAAATAATTTAGTAGAAATTGGTTCACTATTTGTAGAAAAAAGTAGTCTGCCACTTAAATGTGTAAGAAACAATATGGAACAATAGCAATACCTTTAATCTGCATACTATAATCTGCTAAAATGAAATAAAAACATTAGCATTTTTATATCAAAAATGTAATTACCTCCCTCAGTTATGCGGGCATGGATTAAATGACAAAGTACTAACATTGTAATAAATTTCACCATAGTTATCACAATAAAAATAAAATTGTAATGTTGCTATACTTTTGTAAATCTAGTCATAGGACATTCCCAGTGCCAGCATATCATGACATATGTTAGTTTATTATCTTTTCATGCCAACTATGGATCTAGATACAGACACTAATACTCAGTAATCTTAAATGCAAGTAAAGTGGTGAGAAAGTAAATTCAAATAAATAGCTAGTAAATAAATGAGCTCCTATAAAATCTCATATGTGAATGCCATTTCAAGAAAATGTTTTATATGGAATTTCTCTTTGGAAGACTCAATGGTATTTAACAAAACGGAAATTTACCATTTAAAAAACTTCCTATGTGCTTTTTTTAAAAATTTTAAACAAAGGTGGCAAAATACTGCAATGACACTAAAAAAATCATTAACAGTGTAATTAGCAATTTAGAGTACCATTATCCAACTAGTTCTGTGCAGAATGCAGCTGTGACTGTAATTCTGCATCTGTTTCTTTGGTCAGAATGGTATTTTGGTAGATGAGTAGTCCAGCTTGAAATGAAATACAGTTCTTTTCTTCCCCAAAACTGTTCTTTGGGAGATGGTAACATTATTTGAATGGAAAAGAATGACCATTTCAGAATCCATTCTCTTCATGAAGTAAATGGCCATCATGGCAGGCTTTCTATCCATTTTTACTTCAGATGAAGATGTGTCAAGGTAGCCAATGCCACAGCCGATATCCTGTATTAGAAAAATACATTGTTATGTTTGGCCCAGTTCTGTACCTTTAAACCAATTGAGTTAGCTCGGTACCACATGGCCACCACCTTCTCAAAGCTGGTTTCTAGAATCCTAGCCTGGGCCTTTCTTCAATATTTTTTTCCTATTTCCTGAGCTATTTCCGATATTTTTAGCTTTTGTACTCCTATCTCATCATTTGTGTGTAGCTCTATATTTACATCTTAGATCTAACAACTATTCTATTCTGGTGTTAAGTTTGGGATTCTCTCCTTGGCTACATATACAAGGGCTGCCTGGAAAGTATCTAGCCATATAATATGAAAAATGTAATATGCAATGGCTGGATACTTTCTGGACAGCTCTCATATACTTCCTCTACTCCACTAACAACATAGCCCTGAAGCAGCCTGACTCCTAGTTATCTACTCCGCTGGCCCATGGTCCCATTGAGGCTGCCTTAGCCCATACAACAGGAAATTGGACATTCAAAATATATACCTATAATTCTAAGAGTACTTGTGAAGCTATAGAGGAACTAAGTAGTAACTTTGTGGTCATTTTGCCTTACCAATATGATGCTGAAGGAAAAAAACTCTGGTGTCCAAGGAAAGGAGATGGTCCTCATATGCCGATTGGTTGAAGGATAGTCCATTTATCCTAAGGTACTGCTATTTCCTTTCCCAGAGATGTTTGGAACACTTACCTCCCAGTGTTCCTAATGCAGCTACAGACCTTCATAGAGATTAATCCTCCATGATGTTTGGGCAAGCATGCAAATGTTGTGTTCTATTACTGTTAGTAAGTAACTTCTAAGTCTGATTATTTCCATGGCCTAATCCTGTCTATCTAATTCCAGAACATTTCCATCACCCCAAAAAGAAACCCCATACTTATTAGTAGTTAGTCTCAATTTCTTCCTCCTCCATCCTCTGGCAACTATGAATCTACTTTTTGTCTCTATAGATTTGCCTATTCTCGACATTTCATATAAATGGAATCATAGAATATGTACCCTTTTGTGTCTGGCTTTCATTTAGCATAACATTTTCAAAGTTCATCCATGTTGTAGCATGTAACAGTACTTCATTCCTTTTTGTGGCTGAATAATACTCCACTGTATGGATTATACTTACTAACTTTTGTTTATCCATTTCTCAGTTGAAGAACATTTGAGGTTTTTTTCACTATTATGAATAATGCTCCTATGAACATTCTTGTGCAAGCCTTTGTATGCACATGTTTCTAATTTTCTTCTTTCTTTATTTTTTAGAGATGTGGTCTTGCTCTGTTGCTTAGGCTGGAGTACAGTGGTGTGATGATAGCTCTCCTGCAACCTCAAACTCCTGGACTCAAGCAGTTTTCTCTTCCAGCAGCTAGGATAACAGGCACACACCAACAAGCCCAGATAATTTTTTTTTTTTTTTTTTTTTAAAATAATTTCTGTAGAGACGAGGTCTCACTGTGTTGCCCAGGCTGGTCTCAAACTCCTGGCCTCAAGTGAGAGCCTCCCAAAGGGCTGGGATTACAGATGTGAGCTATGGTCCCCAGACTGTTTTCAGTTTTCTTAGTTATATATCTAGGAGTAGAATTGCTGGGTCATACAGTAATTCTATGTCTAACTTTTTGAGAAACTGCCAAGCTCTTTTCCACAATACCTGCACCACTGTGCATTTTCACCAAAACTATATGAGGGTTACAATTTCTTTACATCCTGTCAATGCTTGTTATTATATGACTTTTTTATTCTAGCCATCCTACCGGTTGTGAAGTATTATCTTCATTGTGGTTTTTGTTTTTTTGAGACAGAGCTTTGTTTTTTGAGACAGAGTTTGCCCTAGCTCACAGCAATCTCAAATTCCTGGGCTCAAGCAATCCTCCTGCCTCAGCCTCCCAAGTAGCTGGAACTACAGGCATGCACCACCATGCCTGGCTAATTTTTTCTATATATATATATATTAGTTGGCCAATTAATTTCTTTCTATTTATAGTAGAGACGGGGTCTCGCTCTTGCTCAGGCTGGTTTCGAACTCCTGACCTCAAGCAATCTGCCCGCGTTGGCCTCCCAGAGTGCTAGGATTATAGGCATGAACCACCGTGCCCAGCCTTCATTGTGGTTTTGATTTGCATTTCCTTGATGACAAATAATGTTGAGCATCTTTTCATGTGGTTATTGGCCATCTGTATATTTTCTTTGGAGAAATAGCTACTCAAATCTTTTGTCCATTTTTTAATTGGGTTATCTTTTTGTTGCTGACTTGTAGGAGTTCTGTATATGTTCTGAATACCACCATTTTATAAAATATATGATTCGCAAATGTTTTCTCCAATTCTGTGGATTATCTTTTTACCTTGATAGTGTCCTTTGACACACAAAAGGTTTTAATTTTGATGAAGTTCAATTAATTTTTTCATTGATTGTCTTTTTGGTGTCATATCTAAGAAGCTACTGTGAAAACAGATTTTTTTTTTTTGAGACAGAGTCTCGCTTTGTTGCCCAGGCTAGAGTGAGTGCCATGGCGTCAGCCTAGCTCACAGCAACCTCAAACTCCTGGCTCAAGCAATCCTCCTGCCTCAGCCTCCGAGTACTGGGACTACAGGCATGCGCCACCATGCCCGCTAATTTTTTTTCTAATATATTAGTTGGCCAATTAATTTCTTTCTATTTAAGTAGAGACAGGGTCTCACTCTTGCTCAGGCTGGTTTCGAAACTCCTGACCTCAAGCAATCCGCCCGCCTCGGCCTCCCAGAGTGCTAGGATTACAGGCGTGAGCCACCACGCCCGGCCTGAAAACAGATTTTTATCTATGTTTCTTTCTAAGAGTTTTATAGTTTCAACTCTTACATTTAGGTCTTTTATCCATTTTGAGTTAATTTTTATATACTGTGTGAGGGTAGGAGCCAAATTCATTTTTTTGCATGTGGATATCCAGTTGTCTCAGGACCATTTGTTAAAAAGGCTATTCTTTCCCCCATTGAATGACCTTGGCACCCTCATCAAAAATCAATTGATCATAAATGTATGGATTTATTTCTGGACTCTCAGTTCGATTCCATTCGTCTATATGTCTGTGCTTATGCCACTACCACACTGTCTTTGTTACTGTAATTTTTTTAATTTAAAAAATGTTTGAAATCAGAAAGTGTGAGTCCTCCAATGTTGTTCTTTTTCAAGATTATTTTGGCTATTCTATCTCCCTTACAATTCCATATGAATTTTAGAATCAGCTAGTCCATTTCTGGAAGAAAAAAAAAGCAGTTGGAATTTTGATAAGAATTACATCAAATTTGCAGATCATTTTGGGAAAATTGGCATCTTAACAATAGTAATCTTCCAAATCATGAGCATGAAATATATTTCTGTTTATTTAAATCTTTGATTTCTTTCAACAATGTTTTATAGTTTTCAGAATACAAGTCTTATACTTTTTTTGGCTAAATTTATTGCTAAGTATTTTATTCTTTTTGATGCTGTTATAAATGGAATTGTTTCATAATTTTATTTTTAGATTAGGCATTTCTAATGCACAGATATGCAACTGATTTTTACATGTGGATCATGTATCCTGCAACTTTGCTGAACTTGTTTATTAGCTCTGATTTGGGGTTTTTTGGTAGATTATTCAGGATATTCTATATATAAGATCATGTCATCTCCAAGTAAAGATAGTTTTACTATTGATTTCCTTTCTAATCTGATGCCTTTTATTTCTTTGGTTCTTTTTTCTTTTTTTTTTTTTTTTCCTATTGTTTTCACCAGAACCTCTAGAACAATGTTAAATGAAGTGGCAAGAACAGACATCATTGCCTTGTTCCTCATCTTAGGTGAAAAGCATCAACATTTCACCATTAGGTGTGTTAGCTGTGGGCTTTTCATAGATGCCCTTTATCAGATTGAGAAAATTTCTTTCTATTCCTACTCTGTTGAGTGTTTTTGTCATGAAAGAGTGTTAGCTTTTGTCAAATAGTTTTTGTGCATAATTGTGATGATTATGTGTTTTTTTTCTTTTATTCTCTTAATATGGTATAGTATTACATTGATTGGTATTTATATGTTGGAATAAATTCCAACATATAAATCCATCCCTTCCATCCCTGGAATAAATTCCACTTGGACCTGATGTATAATTTTTTAATATGCCACTGCTTTTAATTTGCTAAGATTTTTACATCTGTATTCATAGGGATATTATTCTATAATTTTCTTGTGATGTCTTTGTCTGTTTCTGGTGTCAGGATAATATGAATTAGGAATTCTTCTCTCCTATTTTTTGGACGAGTTTGAAAAGGCTTGGTGTCAATTTTCGTTAAAAACTGAGAGAATTTGCCAGTGAAGTTATCTGGTCCTGGGTTTTTCTTTGTTGGAAATTTTTTGAATATTCTATTTCTTTACATGCTATCAATCTATTCAGATTTTCCAGGTCTTCATGATTCAATCTTGAAAGGTTGTGCATTCCTGGAAATTGTTCAATTCATCTATATTATCTAATTTGTTAGCATACAATTGTTCATAGTTTCCTTTTATTATTCTTTTGGATTTCTTCAAGGTCAGTAAAAACATCCCTTTTTTCATTCCTGATTTTAATAATTTGAATCCTCTTTCTTTCTTCCATTGTTTGTCAGTCTGGCTAAAGATTTGTCGATTTTATTGATCTTTTCAAACAACTAACTTTTGGATTCATTGATCTTCTCTAGTGTTTTTTTCTCTATTTCATCTGTTTTCTCTTTAACATTTATTATTTCTTTCCTTCTACTCCTGAGCCCACTAAAAGCAAAACAAAACAAAAAAATCTTAAGAATTATAGTGCAAGAGAGTAACAGTACAGTAATGATATCTTTATTATTAAAATTAACATTTTAGGGAGGGGGGAAAGGGCATTTATTGAAACCTTAAAATTTGTACCCCCATAATATGCCAAAATTAAAAAAAAATTAACATTTTAGTATCTTAAATTTGTGAAAAATGAGCACAAATAGAATAATGAATGCATCAACTTTTTTAGCCCATATTTTTTCTTGCTAAATTTTTTTATCAAGGTGAAATTTACGTATCATTAAATTCACAGATCTTGAGTGTACAATTCAATGAGCAGTATAGCCCTTTGTATCAAACACTTAATCAAGAAATAGAGCATTTCCATTACCATAGATTTAATGTATTGATCATATTCTTTCCCTGATATATCTGTAAGATCACTGAGATAAGTGCAAAGTGCTATTGTTCTCCACAGCTACCATAAAAACAGCAAGACCCCAACATTTTTAGGGCCATTAAGGATGGTAATTGTGGCAGCTGATAGGAAGTTAGTTGATATCTAGCATTCTTCTAAGAATCCTAGGCTCAAATTGTGAAACATCCCTGAGGGCAGCTAGTATTTAGAGTTTTCTAATGGAAATTCCATAATTAGTACTAGTAGTACATAATAATTATATCTTAGGTAGGATATTCCAATAACCTAACTAACCAGTATAAGTTTATAAAGAATTATCTCCCTTTGGCTGCCCTTTTGTTTCCGGTTGACCGAATGCCTATGATAATCTGTTTTAAATATTTCAGCATAGGTCAGTAGTTTATAATAATAATAGCAAATCCTTTATATCCCATATTTCATCCTAAAAGAACCCTTAGTTAGTACTTTCTAGACTGTTTATAACAGGTAAAAAATCAATAAAACACAGGCACCTTTTTGGTAGAAGATGCTTTAAAAAAGGTGACGAAGCAAGCTAGCTACAATTTGTGAGAGATGTGGAAGGAGAATGTCATTTCCATTTGAAATTATAGAAAGAATATTGATTTTTTTTAGGCAGAAAATCAATGCTCAAATTTTAGTTTTGCTAATGTACAAGGTTTGACCTCCTTACAAAAAGTACAATTGCATTTAGACTGATCATAGAATCTTAGATCATGGCATGTTTTTTGTTTAGTAGAGGTGTTAAATATCTCTGAATCAGTAAATATTAGAAGCAGTTGTAAATTATTAAAGAAGTGGTTGTGACATCTATTTTTTTTTAACATTCTGTTTACATCCTGAATCTTTTCTTTTCTCTAGCCAAATCTATTCCTTTCTTCTCAGTTTTTCTTCCTCTGTTTTTCTAAAGGGTCTGCTAGGTAGTGCTCATCCTTGCTGATTGGAAAGAGTGCTGACTTCTCAATTAGTAGCTCAGTCTTCTCTCAACTCCCATTCTTAATTCCTCCTGTTGTGGGAGATTCATGAGTAGGCTAAGACCTTCAAAGTTTGGGTTATGGTAGAATGGAAATTCTTAGATGGATTCTAGGATCACTTTTAATCTTCAAAGGTTGAAAGTCAGAAGACCTTGAAAGTAAAATCTGAATAGAAAGAAAACTTAGGGAAGTAAGGCTATGCCTTTGTGTTTACCAGTAGAGCAAATATATAGAAATACATTGTTAACTGAAGAATATTTAATGGAATAATAGAGAAAGGTAACTTTTCAGTTTTCCCTCTATGTATGGTAGTTGTAGACAGACATTTTTCTTTTAACCTACATAAACAACCAAAAAAAAGGAGAGAAGCCTCAGTATTTTTAAAGGGAAGCCAAATACACACACACACACACACACACACACACACACACACACACACACACGGTTATTTTCTGAAAGCTAGGAAATTGTTTTCAAGGAGAAATGTATGATCTACAATTGCAATGTTTAGACATTTGGCAATTGGATAAAATAATGTTTTGGAGAAAATAGGAAAACAGATTGACATAAATGTACATTAGGGTAGCAACTTCCATTTCTTGTACATACACAGTGAAATAGTTCTGGGCAATAAATTCTTGGAAAAGTAGAGTAGGGATTGGATAAATGTCATACTTTATGACTGAATTCATATAAGCAGGTAAAAACTCAAGATGGAGAGGTAATAGTAACCACCTGATAAAGAGACTTAAAACCCTTTCACCTTACAAAAAGATTGCTTTAGAGTTATAACTTGATATTATAGTTTGATTTTTTTTAAAGATATTAGTTATGTTTGTGACTACTACTGTGGCTACATAAAATAAAGAGTGTTTTTGTACCCCAGTACAAAGAAATATTTATAATTTAACTGTAAAAATTTTTGATGTTATAGATTCTGGAACTAAACTAAGATTATTGAAAAAAGCAACACGGCCACTATTTCTGCCATAGATGTCTTAAAAATAAAACATAATTGACAATGCAGAATTCTGTAACTATTTCAAGTCAACTACCAAAGTATAGTTTAGTTCTATAATGTGTTGGCAACATGAGCCTTCAGACTTTTCCTTCATCCCCCGTATCCATCCTGTGCTGTCTATTCCACTCTGGATTTCATGTTTTTCACCCTTTTTATTTTCTGTGACAGATTACTGCAGCTCATTTTGATTTCTCCTCTTCTCTAAATTTCTGTAGCACACTACTAACTTAAGATCTCTTCTCTTCTAACTTTTGGTAGAATCTACTCATTGAGGCCAGAATAATTTGTTATATTAAAGAAAGAGTAGGTCTTGGGGAAGATAAGAAAGAGAACATTCCAAGCTGACATCATAAAATGATCTGAGGCCCAAATGTGCAAGCCTAGTAACTGAAACTATAGGTGTCAGTGAACATTGGATGAATGAACTGATGAACAATTGAGTATATCCTGAGTAGAGTGGCATGGCCAAGTTTAGTAGACTGTTCCTTTTAAGTCATTAATTCTTTATACATGTTTTAGTTCTCTAGGGTACAAAGATGAAAAAATGATTTTCAGGAGCAAATTTTAATGGGGCAGACAGAAAAGTAAAAAATTATTAAAATATTACCTGCAATAAGAGGTATGTTTGCACAACACCTTTGGGAATACAAAGGAGGAAGCTACAGAGGTGGATTGTGTAGGACAGGCCAAATCTCAAAGGCCTTAAATGCCAGAGTCAATTGTTTGAACATAATTTTCATCATTATTAAAGCAAGATACTATGTCAGAGCATTTTGTGAAGATTTAGAACAGCACTGATCCTTCCCTAGGATATTCTTTGGGTCTTTGGAATAGGCTTCGCTGTTTTCCTGTTCTGGCCCCATAATTATACTTCGGGTTCAGCTGAAAACAAAAGTCAGGATGTGGTTGGGAGAGTCAACCATCTCTAATGTTTGGAAATACCATCTCAGAAGATAGTAACCCTTTAATGTTAAGATTTCATAAATATCAAGTTGAGATACCTTAATTGTTGTAGAGACCTGAACTATCTACCTAATCCTAATTTGAAAGAATAGTGTTCACTTTGACAGTGCTAATTGAGTGTATTTGGAATCTGAAAAGAAAGAGCAAGGAAATGAGTGTTGGCTTGAATTTTGCTGAGGTCTTTTTTTTTTTTTTTTTTTTTTTTTTTTTTTTTTTTTGAGACAGAGTCTTTCTCTGTCCCCCAGCTAGAGTGCAGTGGTGTCATCATAGCTCACTGCAACCTCAAACTCCTGGGCTCAAGCTATCCCCCTGCCTTAGCCTCCTAAGTAGCTTGGACTACACCCTGCTAATTTTTCTATATTTGGCAAAGACAAGATTTCACTCTTAGGCTGGTCTTGAACTCCTGAGCTCAAGCAGTCCTCCTGCCTCGGCCTCCCAGAGTGCTAGGATTACAGGCATGAGCCACCATGCCTAGCCATGAGTTTTTAAAGATGTGTATTTTCAGAGATCTGTAACTAAACATAAGTATTTCTGTCCTCAATTGTTATTTCCAGTCATTTGATTCTTCAAAAATCACAAGGAAGCAAAGTATTATACCTTACTCTCCAACAACTGGAACTTGTCAAATGAGCCCATTTGCTTCTCCCACAAGTTCTGAAGAGCAAGAGCACAGAAATGGACCATCAAATGGTTAGTTGAACATTCTTTTCTACTTATTGTAAGATTTTTCTAGTTATTGGTTAAATGAAGATTTTGATTTAATAATATGTGAATCTTTTTGCAGCTGATTTTTCTCCTCTCTCAAAGAATTTAACATAGAAAAGGCTAGAATGTAGGTATTATTTTGGACATAAATGTAAACTTTCTAGGCACTTATTTTAAAATGCTACTGCAGACTTTGTTCCCTTCTTATCCCATCCATTAAATAGAAATTATGGCTTGACTGCCCTCAGCTACTATCAATTATAATGGTTACAGATATGCCCCTTAACAAGCTATCCATCATGTGCATAAATTAAAGAGAGCATAACTCAGATACTGCTGCATAACAGTTTAAGAGTGATACTTCTAAATGTTATTTTTATCCATGTTGTCCATTTAGTTTTATCCACATTTAGTGTATCTTTATATAGCTTGCCTTTATTTATTATATTTCGTTCTCTTCTTTTTCTTTACTATTTCAAATGCATTTACAAAAGGTTTGTAGAATTTTCCATAGAGAACAACCTAATTTTAATATGAAATTCTTTATTTTAAAATATTGTTAGTTTTTGAACATACATATTTGTTGTTCTCTGGTGGTTTATTGCTAAAATATTGATTTAAAACCACAAATCTCAATTTCATAGGTTAAATTTTTTCTGTTGAGAAAGGTCATGAATCAGTGACATGTCAGTTTCTATAATATAAAATTTAAATAGGCTCAAATTTAATAAAGTGTGTTTTAGGTATGTGGTGATTAGCCTAATTCATATTTTACTGTTTAACATTTATTGAGTGCTAAGCATACACTAGAAGCTATATAGAAACAAAGAATTCTGCTCATTTTAACTAATTTGTTATAATGAAACATATAATGAGATCTTAAACTTTTGAATGTCTTTGATTTTACTTTAATCAAATGCCTTTTATCTTAAAGCTATTACTATTAGGTTTGCTTTCACAAAAATATATAACAGTATATACATTTTCTTCAAGTTTCATATTTCTGTTTTTATATACCTATCTTTTTAAAATTAAAATTAACACCTTAGAGATTACACATCTCTATTCTGAAATGTGAATAGATTTTAAGTTGATATGTACTCAATTTCCATTTTGAAATTAAATATGGACTTAAGGGAACATTCCTTTTGCCCATAAAAAGATTGGTCACATGATTTCAGTTGACATTTAAGTGGATAATTATCACAGATTATAGTCCTACATAAGCTCTTTTTAAAAAAGTCAGATAGCAGGGTTTTCTGAGGTGTTAGCAATATTCTATTTTTTGACCTACATGATTCAGTCTAGTTATTCTTTGGACTGTACATATATGTTTAATGTACTCTGTAACATGTATATCTCACATATAGAAGTCTCAAAACAGGAGAATTTTACCTAGGATCCTAAGATTATATCATTTGTAATCATAACATTGTTCATCCTAATGTCATCTTATACATATTTTAAAATGAGAAAGCCTGACTCTTATGAAGTAACTTAAATTCCAAATAAATGAGAAAATGTGACTTAGGAAGTCATTTAAGTTCCAAATGAGGTCATAACCTGTATTAACAACTGCCACTTTTAAAATATTGTACAAAACATAATGTAAAATTTAAATAACATTTTCAAGGACATTTTAGGTGCTATTCACTTTCCTTCACATTTAGGATAAAATCCAAAATCCTTATCATGATTTTTAAGGCCATACATCCATCTAATACCTGACCACCTCCTTTGTCTTATTTTCTACTACTCTTCTTTTACATTACTTTAGCTACTCTTACTTTCTTGCTATTTGTCATCACACTTAGCCCTTTCCTGCCACAGAGTCATTGCACTTGCAGTTTTCTCCACATGGATATTCTTCCTTTAGATATTTACGTGTAGTTTCTCTGTATATTTGAACCATGTACTACGTGAACAGAGACTTAACGTTAGATTTAAATCTATCTGTAGTTATAAAAGGAAAAACAAATTGGTTCTATGTCTTCCTTCTACTTAGATTGCATATTGGCCAAACATAGGATGATTTGTTTCAACTTTCAGTTTATATGTTTAAGAGATACAGTCATGTGCCATATAACGTTTCAGTCAATGATGGACTGCATATACCACAGTGGTCCCATACGATTATAATGGAGCTGAAAAATTCCTATTGGCTAGTGACATCATAGCTGTTGTAACCTTGTAGTGCAACACATTGTGGATTTGTGGTGATGCTGGCTTATACAAACCTACTGTACTGTCAGTCATATAAAAGTATAGCACATACAATTATATAAAGTACATGATAGCAGTCATGTGCTGCATAATGATGTTTTAGTCTGTGACAGACCACAAATATGACCGCGATCTCATAAGAATATAATACCATATTTTTACTGTGCCTTTTCTGTGTTTAAATAATATGTTTAGATATACAAATACTTACTATTGTGTTACAGTTGCCTACAGTATTAAGTTCAAATAGCATGATGTACAGGTTTGTAGCCTAGGTATATAGTAGGTCTAGGAGCAATAGGCTATACCATATAGCTTAGGTGTATAGGAGGCCATACCATTTAGATTTGCCTAAGTACACTCTATGATATTTGCATGATGAAATCACCTAATGATGCATTTCTCAAAAAGTATCCCTGTAGTTAAGTTATATAACTATATGTGTATGTGTGTATGATATATATCATTTATATGTTTGTGTATATTATTACTGCCCTCCCCCAACTCTTAGCAAATTTCTCTGAACTACTACAGGTGACTCTTGAACAGCATGGGTTTAAACTGCATGGGTTCCCTTATACATGAATTTTTTTTAATAAATATGTCTGAAAATTTTGGGAGATTTGCAACAGTTTGAACAACCTTGAAGACAAACTTCATAGCCTAAAAATATAGAAAAAATTAAGAAAAAGGTCTATGTCATGAATGCATAAAATATGTGTAGATACTAGTCTATTTTATTATTTACTACCATAAAATATATACAGATATAAAACCAATGCACACATACACTTAGACCATATAATACACCATTCACAGTTGAGAGAAGTGTAAACAAATGTTAATATGTAGTATTACATCCTAACTGCATAAAATTAATGAGTACATACTATACTACTATAATGATTTTGTAGACACCTCCTGTTGCTATTGCAGTGAACTCAAGCGTTGTGAGTATCTGCTGAAAACACCATGTGACACTAATCTTCACGTAAACAGTTTGTCTCTCCAGTAAATGGTGTATGGCAATGAAAGTGATCGTTCATAGTTCTTGTGTATTTTTCATTGTGTTTAGTGCAATGCCATAAACTTTGAATAATACTATGGGACCCATACAAAGTGCCACTAGTGATGTTGGAAGTACTCCCAAGAAGCAGACAAAAGTCAGGGCATTACAAGAAAAAGTCAAATTGCTTGACATGTACTGTAGATTAAAGTCTTCAGCTGCTGCTGCCTACCATTTCCAACAATTCATCTTATAAACATACAGCATAAACTTGTGGCATTAATGAATACAGCATTGTACTGTAAAAGTGTATTTTCTCTTCCTTATGATTTTCTTAATAACATTTTCTTTTCTCCAGCTTACTTTATTATAGGAATAGTATAGCCGGGTGTGGTGACTCACACCCGTAATCCTAGCACTCTGGGAGCCTCAGGCAGGTGGATTTCTCGACTTCTTATTATATCCTCAAATTTGCAAAGCGAAGTCAGGAGTTCGAAACCAGCCTGAGCAAGACCCCTTCTCTACTAAAAATAGAAAGAAATTAATTGACCAACTAAAAATATATATACAAAAAATTAGCTGGGCATGGTGGCACACGCCTGTAGTCCCAGCTACTCGGGAGGCTGAGGCAGGAGGATTGCTTGAGCCCAGGAGTTTGAGGTTGCTGTGAGCTATGCTGACGCCACGGCACTCACTCTAGCCTGGGCAACAAAAGTGAGACTCTGTCTCAAAAAGAAAAAAAAAAAGAATACAGTATATAATACATATACAGAATGTGTGTTAATTGACTGTTATTAATAAGGCTTCTGGTCAACAGTAGGCTATTAGTAAAGTTTTGAGGGAGTCAAAGGTTATACTTGGATTTTTGACTGCATGGCAAGTCAGTTCCCCTAACCCCTGTGTTCTTCAAGGGTCAACAGTATGCGTTTTAGAAAAAAGGAAGGATGGTAAATTTTTCCCTTTTACTCCCAAGAACACTTCAGACTTGTTATTTAATAGTGAGGGTAGAAGGATAAACAACAAATTGCATAGTCAAAGAAAAGTACTTGTTAACTGGATGGCAGGTCTGCAGAAATCACCCAGACTGTAGCAATATAACAGCACAGAGAAATAAAGAAGAGGAGATTGTGATAAAACAGTAAAGAGAAATTATGGGCAGAATAAGAAGCTATGGCATCTGCCAAAATAGGAATTCCACAAGGAAGAAATAGAATGGGGCAGAGGAAATATTCTAAGATATAAGGACTATCAGTTTTTCATAATTAAAGATAAGAATTTCCAAATTAAAGTAGCATGCTTAGCTTGAGCAAGATAAATTAAAACAAATCTACATCTAGCCGAATCATGGTTAAACTGGAAAACATCAAAGACAAAGAAAATTTTAAAGACAACCAAAAAAAGATATTACCTACAAGGGAATGACAGACTGATAGAATACTTCTCATCAGTATCAACAGACTCCAGCAGAAAATGGAATAATAATACCAACTAAGAATCACAGTTGAATTTTTATTTAAGAAGTGAAGATAAAGATATTTTCAGAGAAAATCTCAGAGAGTTGGCTATTTATACATTCTCACTAAAATAACTACTAAAGAATGTACTTCTGTAAGGAGCAAACTGAACCTCACATAAAGAAGTGGAATACAAAGAGCAATGGTGAAAAAATAAATTAGCAAACAGGTTGGTAAATATAATTACAAATATAATTACAGAAATCTAATTACAGATTTTGCTGACTATAAAGGAAAATTCA